TCTACTCTCTCTCTCTCTCTCTCTCTCTCTCTCTCTCTCTCTCTCTCTCTCTCTACATATATATCGCTAAACCTTCTTTCTTAAAAAATGTAAAAAAAGATCTAAAAAAATAATCCGTGGCGTTCAAAAAGAGAAATAATCACTTCTAGACCCACGCTTTTGGGCAAAGGTCACCATTCCCGCAGGCGCAGAAGGCCCAGCCTGATTGAGTGTAGCGAAACCAACTGAAAACAGTCTTTTTCTTGGTATGTGTGGATAAATGCTGGCATTTTCCAGCTGGAGAGTTATTTAAATTTCTATTAAGTTGATAAAACTGGCTTTTAGTGTTGTTTTGGCTGCTTGATAGAGTTCTAAAACTAATCCCATCTTCTTCTCTTTTGGTGGTCTTAAAGGGGGTCAGAGGTCATGCTGCCAATGTTTGCATTTGCCGTGCTATGTATCGCTGGTCAAAAAGTGAAATTTGTGGACTAAATTGACAATTTGGAAGTTGGACTACCCTGTCAATATGTGTTTGCAGAACACTCACGTAGGTGATTGTTGACAGCTCGGTTCTTAGATGTTTTCTATATATTCCAATAGGAGCTAGAATTAGTGGGCTGTCCGCTTTTGCCACTTTACAAAATTTCATTTCAAGCTCCATCATAGCCTTTCGTATCATTTTTCATGGTAAATGATACGAAAGGCTATGATGGAGCTTGAAATGAATTTTTTTAAATGGCAAAAGCGTGGGTCTAGAAGTGATTATTTCTCTCTTTGCAGATAATTTTTTGAGATCTTTTTTTACTTTTTTAGTAAAATGCTCTAGCGACTGCAGAGGGTTGTTTTTCAACTGTCGTAGTTTTTTCCTTGTATGAAGGGGGCATTTTGCTTCTTACTTTTCCTCTTTCCCTCTTCGGTGATGTTTCCCCGGTATGTTTAGGTCGTCAGATTCCCCACCGTTGGAGCCAACAAGTTTGATAGACACCTTCTCGGTAGTGCCAGCTTTTTGGTAGTTTCCCGTCTTCAACCTGATGAGAACATCCATGGGCCCTTGTAGCTGTCCAGCCATTGCCTGGAAACAAAAAGTTAGAATATGTTGTAGAAGATATGTACATATATGTACAAAAATGAGCATCCAGAAAACAGACAACCGTTATGACCAGGCTTTAGACTGAGTTACCTAAGCCACCCTTTTTGTAGAAACATCTTTGACCTTAGATGCATTCTTGGCGTTTTGAGAGGTAGCTTGCCTCCTTCTCACCTGTTCTATCAGTTTTCCGGTATTCATCATATTGTTGGGTACTCGATCAATCATTTTAATGTTCAGTATGATTCGGTAGCACGAGTTTGCAAAGGAATCGATTTTGTTTTCTATATCCTTCGTGATTAGGCCATGTTGATTTGATTATATGGATGACATCCACGCACGCTTGAAAATTTGGCCGTTTAAAAGAAAAGTTTTCAACCATACTGTAAATCGTACAAACAGTTGAAAAATGTGTAGATTTATACCATAAGTTTCAAACATATTGGAAAACGATTCCAATATGATAGAATGCCAAAATCAAACAAAAAGGACGAAAATGTAAAAGAAATGTATTTGAAGAGATTATTCGCCATACCATAGTCTGTGTCATCTGTTCAATCTTCATGCATACGTTGATTTCATAAAGAAAGCACCTTTTTTGGCCAAACGTTTTTATTCGCATGGTCGCTTCAGTTTTGGGGATCCCAGAGGACGTCATCCATATAATCAAATCAACATGGCCTTACCTATACATCACACTCATGGTTAAGTATAGCTTAACATGCACGTGACAAAGGCATCTCAAGTGAATTTTCTTATATTTTAGTTAGCTTCGCCAATAATGTTATGTTTTCAGCAGCGTTTGTCCTTTTGCATACTTGTGAACAGCATATATAAATCAAGAATGTATGAATAGAATCTAATGGTATTTGGCATGTGGATAGGGTGTTCCCAAATTATCCGGTTATCCAAGTTATCCGGATCCAGTGTGCAGGGGTCTGGAAGAAAGACTTAGGAAAGACTCTAAGACATAGGGAAGAGAAGATTGATGGCCACTTACACCACAGGTAGCCTTCTACATGTAACCACCATTGGCCAGCAGGGGCGAATCATGAGCTAAATTCAGCTCAGCATCAGGAGTTAATTTGCATAATTAATGAGGAAAGACCCGGAGACCTAGTATTACAGCCAAATCATCTGGAATTTGGTATGGGTATGCTTTATATATCTACCAACAACAGTTCATTATAATGTTTGGCATACTCTTCCTTAAAGCTTGTATGATTTGGGACATTTTGACTGTTTTCATAAGAATGGCAGACAGAGCAAGCGCCAGGCATGCAGCTTTCCTCTATTCTTCTTGCTGATTGGCTGTTGGAATGTAATCGGGTTAACTGCATTAACACCTGCACCTGGTCATACCATATTAACAGTATGAGCTACATACAAGTGTTTTGATAGGTATGTCAAACTTTCTTGCTCCAGCATTGGAATAAGGGGCATAAACGCTTTTTTAGTTATATGATACTTCGTATCAGTTATACCAATGTAAAGCACTGTCGACTAAAAGACTAAACGGGACCTACACCAAAATACTTAGGATTGATTGTCAAAACGTTACCAAAGATACCAAATAGTGTACTGTATGAAAGTATACCACCAGTGAGTGAAAAAAACGAAGGTTGAGGTTCATCGGACACTGCTACAGAAGTGAGAATGAAATCATACAGCAGTTATTACTGTGGGAACCCACTAATGGAAAAAGAAGTCGAGGTCGTCCAGCAAGAAACTACATTAACCAATTAATGGACAACACCCAGCTCGACAGGAAAAAAAATGATGGTAGAAATGAAGGATAGGAAGAGATGGAGAGCAGCCATTGGAACCGAGAGAGCCTCGACCCAGTGATTGAGTAACCGAAAGCATTGTAACACGTTTTCCCTTGTGTTTCTCCTGCTTTCCCTGCCATGTCGTAAAATGGGTTCAATTTTGGGGCCAAATGACCTGACATTTGCAGAAGGCTTTGGAAGATTCCATTCTTACATGGAGGTATAGACTGTTAGAGAACACTTCACATTTTGGACAGGGATAATTCAAGAACTATTTGAGTGGGAGGGGACAGACCCATTTTTGGTACGGGGGTATGAGGTGAAGCCATCTGCTGCATTTGCTCCAAAGCAAATGTCGGCCTTTCTGGTTGGAGTTACTTTTCCAAAATAACAGAAGAATTTACAAGTAAAAGTAGTGTACAGCTTGCTCTACTGTTCGTTGAGATAACAGTCCTCTAATCCAACAGGACAAAATGCACCTTATCTACAGTTTCATCTCATCTGCTGGTGGGAGGGTTTAACCAATCAAGACAGAAGTGTAAATTGCTTCCTGCCGCTCCATTGCTGGGGCCTACGCTCAAACAGTGAGCGTTCAAATCACGCCTATTATATATCCAGTTGAACCCCTGCACACTGGATATTTTTGTGCCAAGTGTGCTATGGGTCTGGCATCCAGGCTACCCCACTGGGAAATCTGGAAATGATTAGATTTTGGTCCCCCTTTTCTTGGTTTTGCAGCAGAACTTCCGGTTTTGATGTCTCATGATCTAGACATGTTGGGTCACGAACTTGTGCTCGGGAAGACGTGTCATTAGTTTAGTCCCCCGGCAGCTTGTCCTGCATGCAAGAGCGTTTGTTAAAAAATCTTCGAAGAATGATAATTTAAGAACCGGTCGACGGATTATGACTTTTGGTATGTAGGTAGCGGAATTGGTGCTTGGTATGACTAAATGACAATTATGGAAATCAGGATTTAATTTGCATAATTAATGAGAAAAATCTATAAATCTGCTTCGTTCGATAATAGGACTATGGGGCATTTGTGACATATATAATGTAGAACGAGAAGATAATTGGCAGGCATTGATTACGTAAATGAGCACCCAATTTGCCTTATCAATGGGACACTGTTAGTCTCTCTCCTTCGCAGACTTCGTTTTTTTTGTGTGAGCGACGCAAGTTATGCAGCAGAGGGACGGTTATGCGACCGAGGGAGGGAACGGTTTCGCGAAAGTAGGCAAGGACATTGTCATAATGGTAACTCCTGCGAATTTCATACTTCATACCGCATCTGGAAGTAAATGAAGGTGAACACCATTTAACATAATTTATTCAAGTAATGATGACCTTACTTGCATACTTTATGAGGAGATGTTAGCATTCTTTGCCAAGATAAGACTGTAATTGGGTGGAGAATATGATTAACTGATATGATTCATGTAAATGTGACTCTTATTTGCGAAATCTAAGAGTAATCAATGTATAATTCTCCACTGGAAAGGTTAACATCATTTGGTGAAGGTATATAGACTACTGACATGGGAGGCCACATTTGCGGTCACATCATTACTTCTGCCCGACATCATGTCTAACCTGTTTGTACAACACTTAGGTGAGTCTGTATTGAACTATGAACTTTCACATATCTGATATGGGATGGTGCAACATTTCAGCCCGATAAACAGTGTACATTTTACACAGATTTAAAGCCCAGGCCTTAGTCTGATAGCCTGGTTGCCATCCTCCGTAGTTTTCGCCCGCTCCCTAATGTCGCTGGCTAGCATGGAGTCTGGCGGCTGGTCATGACACCCTACCGCATCCTACTCTCCAAGCAGAGGTTGAATGGGAAGATTGTGACCTTTTTCTATTCCCCCTTTTTTTTCTGACAGCCGGCCCATCCATCGGTGGCCGGTTTGATACTGTCGGCCGGCTGGATACTGTCCGCGTGTTGGATACTATCTTTTTTGGCCACCAAAAGATCTGCTTGGAGATTACTGCCAGCAAGCTTTGTGGAAAATAAACCAGTCTACTTCTACCCCTACATATATAGACAACATGTCTCTACTAGGCTATACACGCCATTGATTGTAGACAGCGCTTGATAGAGTAGCCATACATTTCTGCTTTGATGGTTGTTCGTTTGCCGAAGTTGAGAAACCGGTTAGGTAGCCTACTGGTGCTGAAGTCCCGCCCTGATGTAATCACGTGCCCTGGTCTAATTCTCTTATTGGAGAAGTTACTAATTTGATTGACACACATTGCAACATGAGCCCTCCCAGACACTGACACAGAATAGTGCGCACTTTCCAGAAGTGCGAATCCATAATCTTCTGAAATTTCTGGAGGCTAGACACTATAGTTAGGCAACCCGTAAACAGTTGGTCACAAGACGGCTACGCAGCAATAAAACAAAACACTTCTTAATCGACTTCCGGCTTGATGACTTTACTTAGTTTACCGTTAAATTTTATGGCTAAGGCTCAACCAGTTGAAAAGACGGGAAAATCTACTGAGGCGGTTTTGTTAATGGATCCGCACAGCGAAGTGGAAATTTGGGCGAAGAAAAGTAAAGTACCCTTTGACATCAGAATAAATCGAAACGCTACCTGCCCTTTCGTCCACTTAAAAAATTTGTGTGGACAATTTGTGACACTTTTTGATACCCCATTTTACCACCCTTCTCTCCTAAATGTAACATCCCAGGTTTACACAATGAACGTAGAGGTTACATTCGTTGTAATCTGTCGTGAGATTTTTTTCTTGGCTGTAACAGAACCAGCAGCCGACAAGGATTTAAGACCACATTTTCGGTAACAAGGCTGCTGATTATTTAGCGACACATGCACGACTATCCCAAGAATAAACCCAGTGTGTCCCACGATCGTACGACGTACGTGGCACATTGATTATTCATGTGTACCTGACACGTGGCACTTACACAACCGTCCGGGCTGACAACATTTGGACCGCGATATTTTGCGTTTAAAATTCCATGTCCGATTGCTGGTTTCCTTACCACTTTGTCTACGACATGCACTGGGTCGTTAAAAGTTGTGCTCACGTTCAAAAGTGACGATAATGCCCATGTTACCAATTGGTAGCGAGGCTACCGTATACGCCCCCCAATTTGCTGGGAGTGTTGCACGTGCGCCCAGGCCCATTAGCGACCACCGTTGGCTTCCGTACGAAGCAAATGCACAAGATTTTTGTGCAACCAGGTTTGTGCAACCAGGGGCGAACCCACCATACCAGCCAGGGACGTACCAGCCTGGGACCCGCCAGGGTCGCCCCTGCACCCCGCCAGGGACCCAATAGCTGCCCGGCCGGAATGCAAGACCCGGTCGGCACCCTATTGCATCCCGCACGGGTCAATACGGGAGACTGACCGGGCACCGGACGGGTAAAGGAACATTTAATTGTGATCCTGACAGCCCGCGCACGCTCGGCTTCATGACGCCGGCCGGCGTGTACATCGAGAACATGCCGAGCAGGCCCCGTTTCAAATGTGAGTCCAGCTTAATGAGCTAGCCCTCAGATAAGAATAAGATCTATATTAACGTAGCCGATCGGACGTCAATCGAGCTAACGTCGCCGTTCGAACGTACGTCTGAACGGCTTACCTAATATGTACACACCTTTCCTACAAGAGCGCTCCCTAAAAAAAAATCAGTTCGCTCGTTCAAAATCTGAACAAATATGCAGATTCCAGACGTTACATATGTCTGCAAGTCCAGACCCCGTGCTACTTCGTAGCCAGCGACATAAGGGAGCAGGTGAAAACTACGGAGGATTGCACCCAGGCTATTAACCTGAAGGAATAAAAATCGAATCTAGTTATAAAGTAGCAGTTTTTAATTCTTGTGTTAGGCTGTGGATAAATTTGTAACATATGCAGTCAATGGTGTCAAGCTGTACAATTCAGCCCTTGCGCTGCCAGCAACCTTTGTAGAAAATAAACCAGTCTACTTCTACCCCTACATATATAGACAACATGTCTCTACTAGGCTATACATGCCATTGATTGTAGACAGCGCTTGATAGAGTAGCCATACATTTCTGCTTTGATGGTTGTTCGTTTGCCGAAGTTGAGAAACCGGTTAGGTAGCCTACTGGTGCTGAAGTCCCGCCCTGATGTAATCACGTGCCCTGGTCTAATTCTCTTATTGGAGAAGTTACTAATTTGATTGACACACATTGCAACATGAGCCCTCCCAGACACTGACACAGAATAGTGCGCACTTTCCAGAAGTGCGAATCCGTAATCTTCAGCTGAAATTTCTTCGAGGGCTAGACCCTATAGTTGGGCAGCCCGTAAACAGTTGGCCACAAGACGGCTACGCAGCAATTCTTAATCGTCTTCCGGCTTGATGACTTTACTCAGTTTACCGGTAAATTTTATGGCTAGGGCTCAACCAGTTGAAAAGACGAGAAAACTACTGAGGCGGTTTTGTTAATGGATCCGCACAGCGAAGTGCAAATTTGGGCGAAGAAAAGTAAAATACCCTTTGACATCAGAATAAATCAAAACGCCACCTGCCCTTTCGTCCACTTAGAAAAATTGTGTGGACAATTTGTGACACTTTCTGATGCCCCATTTTGGCCACCTTTCTCTCCTAAATGTAACATCCCAGGTTTACACAATGTACGTAGAGGTTACATTCGTTGTAATCTGTCGTGCGATTTTCTTGGCGTAAATTTTCAATTCAAGCAGGCTATAACAGAACCAGCAGCTGACAAGGATTTAAGACCACATTTTCGGTAGCAAGACTGCTGATTATTTAGCGACACATGCACGACTATCCCAAGAATGAAGCCAGTGTGTCCCACGATCGTACGACGTGCGTGGCACATTGATTATACATGTGCACGTGACACGTGGCACTTACACAACAGTCTGGGCTGACAACATTTGGACGGCGATATTTTGCGTTTAAAATTCCATGTCCGATTTTTGTTGTCCTTACCACTTTGTCAACGGTGTTAGTGGTTACACGTTCAGTACATCTGCTCACATTAAAAAGCGACGATAATGCCCATATTACCGAGCCTAGCCGTATACGCCCCCCGATGGTGCTGGGAGAGATGCACGTGCGCCCAGGCACATTAGCGACCAGCCCGTCGGCTTCCATACGTACTAGTAGCAAATGCACAAGGTGTTTGTGTATTTCTTTGTTGCGACGGTGTACACCTTAAAATCATTTGCCATATTTGGGGCAATTCGGTGAGTCAAACAATATCAAGTATAAAATCCGAAACATTTTGTGATCATGGAAGCTACAAGGCAACAGGATTTAATTCATTCAGCATAAAGATTCATATCATTATATACAGTCTTACCTGACTTTGTTCTTGCTAGAGTGGAGATCAAGATGCTCACTGTGAATTCGAAGCTGATTTGGGTTGAGAGTAGTACCCAAAGTGTCCGTGATTCTGGTGTGGACCCTCCTGCTGCTGCCGCCGCCCAGAGAGTGCGGGGCTCCGGCCCAAGCTAGACTTTTTCAACTCTTTGAGATGCCTCAATTATCTGGGTAAACCTGAAGCTGATTGGAAGATCAAAGACGCACCTACAACCGACGTCGATAGTTGCCTAGCAATAATGGTATGACATCAGCGTTATGAATAATTAAGTAGTCCCGAAGATGAGACTATCCGACAAGGTGCGGCATGATACACTCAAATATTTCGAATGGTTCTGACGAAAGCTTCTTTCTTATGTAAATTAGCAAAAAAGCGCCACGCTGTGGCTTGCGGACTGTTCATGACCAGAGGGCTCGCTAAATGTTCATCTCGCATGAGTGATAAACTGAGAAGGTTAAGGGTTCAGATATGTCAAATCACTGCACGTAAAAGGGCCCAACCCACTTGTCGACCCCAAGAAGTAGGGTGACCCGGTGTGCTTAGGCTAAAGCGAGCCACAATGCTCAAGCCTAAGCACACCGAGAGCGTTTAAAAGTACAAGTATATTAGGCTGTGTTGCCGTGATCTGAGTTATGACTAGGCACATCGCCAGAAAACTATGTCTGCTCTAATATTGTCACAACCTGCCAAAATGTGGACGAAGACACAGACAGTAATATGTACCAGACACACCCAGTTTTTTGGCAACTTGTCAAACAAGAGTTTGGAGACCTCTGTGAAATACTAGTCCCGTAAATTTGCTTCTTTCCTATCTTAGGTACAGCATCCATTACATTTCAACAGTTTAGATACCACATCTCAGGATCCTTCTGCATACCCATTGATGACAGTCATCGGGTTCTACAGCGTCAAGAAATTGACGCCCTGTATGCAAGAGTTTCGGGAGGAAGCGCTGCTATACCTACCAACAATGTGGTACACAGCTAAGTGTTCTGAAACGTACAAATATACGCTTATATCTCAAGTTATCAGATTAAAATTTTGTGGAAAATACACAGTCTTGGGTCAAGTCAAGTCACGTCAAGTCAGTCTGAAGCTTATTGGAGAAGTTACTAATTTAATTGACACACATTGCAACTTGAGCCCTCCCAGACACTGACACAGAATAGTGCGCACTTTCCAGAAGTGCGAATCCATAATCTCCTGAAATTTCTTCGGAGGCTAGACACTATTGTAAGGCAGCCCGTAAACAGTTGGTCACAAGACGGCTACGCAGCAATAAAACAAAACACTTCTTAATCAACTTCCGGCTTGATGACTTTACTTAGTTTACCGTTAAATTTTATGGCTAAGGCTCAACCAGTTGAAAAGACGGGAAAAACTACTGAGGCGGTTTTGTTAATGGATCCGCACAGCGAAGTGGAAATTTGGGCGAAGAAAAGTAAAGTACCCTTTGACATCAGAATAAATCGAAACGCTACCTGCCCTTTCGTCCACTTAAAAAATTTGTGTGGACAATTTGTGACACTTTTTGATACCCCATTTTACCACCCTTCTCTCCTAAATGTAACATCCCAGGTTTACACAATGAACGTAGAGGTTACGATTTTTTTTCTTGGCGTTAATTTTAAAGCACGCTGTAACAGAACCAGCAGCCGACAAGGATTTAAGACCACATTTTCGGTAACAAGACTGCTGATTATTTAGTGACATATGCACGACTATCCCAAAAATGAACCCAGTGTGTCCCACGATCGTACGACGTACGTGGCACATTGATTATTCATGTGTACCTGACACGTGGCACTTACACAACCGTCCGGGCTGACAACATTTGGACCGCGATATTTTGCGCTTAAAATTCCATGTCCGATTGCTGGTTATCTTACCACTTTGTCTACGACATGCACTGGGTCGCTAAAAGTTTTGCTCACGTTCAAAAGTGACGATAATGCTCATGTTACCAATTGGTAGCGAGGCTACCGTATACGCCCCCCAGTTTGCTGGGAGTGTTGCACGTGCGCCCAGGCCAAAGCGACCACCGTTGGCTTCAGTACGAAGCAAATGCACAAGATTTTTGTGCAACCAGGTTTGTGCAACCAGGGGCGAACCCACCATACCAGCCAGGGACGTACCAGCCTGGGACCCGCCAGGGTCGCCCCTGCACCCCGCCAGGGACCCAACAGCTGCCCGGCCGGAAAGAAAGACCCGGTCGGCACCCTACTGCATCCCGCACGGGTGGCACTTACACAACCGTCCGGGCTGACAACATTTGGACGGCGATATTTTGCGCTTAAAATTCCATGCCCGATTGCTGGTTTCCTTACCACTTTGTCTACGACATGCACTGGGTCGTTAAAAGTTGTGCTCACGTTCAAAAGTGACGATAATGCCCATGTTACCAATTGGTAGCGAGGCTACCGTATACGCCCCCCAATTTGCTGGGAGTGTTGCACGTGCGCCCAGGCCCACTAGCGACCACAGTTGGGTGCCGTACGTAGCAAATGCACAAGGTGTTTCTGCATTTGCTTGCTATGATCGTACATGAGTGTTTGTTTGTTTGTTTGTTTGTTTGTTTGTTTGTTTGTTTGTTTGTTTTTACGATGTGCACATTGATAGCATTTGCTAATATAGCTCACCATCATTGGGGTATTTCGGTGAGTGAAACAATATCAAGTATGAAGTCTGAAACATTTTGTGATCATGAAAGCTACAAAGCAACAGGATTTCATTCATTCAGGATGAATATTCATATCATTATATACAGTCTTACCTGTCTTTGCTGTTGCATGTTGTGTTGTGTTGTGTTGTGGATACCAAGATGCACACTGTAAATTCGAAGCTGATTCGGGACGAGAGTAGCCCTCAAAGTGTCGGTGATTCTGGTGTGGACCCTCCTGCTGCTACCGCCGCCCAGAGAGTGCGGGGCTCCGGCCAAACGTAGACCCAAGGCCCAAGCTAGACTTTTTCAACTCTTGGAGATGCCTGAATTATCTGGGTAAACCTGAAGCTGATTGGACGATCAAAGACGCACCTACAACCGACGTCGATAGTTGCCTAGCAACAACGGTGTGACATCAGCGTTATGAATAATTAAGCAGTCCTGAAGATGAGACTATCCGAAAACGTGCGGCATGATACACCCAAATATTTCGAATGGTTCTGACGAAAGCTTCTTTCTTATGTAAATTGGCAAAAAAGCGCCACGCTGTGGATTACGAACTATTCATGACCAGAGGGCTCGCTAAATGCTCATCTCGCATGAGTGATAAACTGAGAAGGTTAAGGGTTCAGATATGTCAAACCACTGCACGTAAAAGCACCGAACCAACTTATCCTCTAAAGTAGGGGTGACCCGGTGTGCTTAGGCTTAAACGAACCACATTGCCCTATCAGCTACCCAAAAACGGGATGCTTTGTACATGTCTTCAGTCTGAGACCGAACACTTAACGTTCCCATTTTATCAAATACGCAGGATGTGCTTGTAGCGACTCGTCTGACCATCAACACAGTCTGTATCGAGAGAGTTTAAAAGTACAAGTACACCGTATATTAGGTTGCCGTGATCTGAGTTGTGACTAGGCATATCACCAGTAAACTACTTAGTATATCTGTTCTAATATTTTCACAACCTTCCAAAATGTGGACGAAGACACAGACAGTAATATGTACCAGACACACCCAGTTTTTTGGCAACTTGTCAAACAAGAGTTTGGAGACCTCTGTGAAATACTAGTCCCGTAAATTTGCTTCTTTCCTATCTTAGGTACAGCATCCATTACATTTCAACAGTTTAGATACCACATCTCAGGATCCTTCTGCATACCCATTGATGACAGTCATCGGGTTCTACAGCGTCAAGAAATTGACGCCCTGTATGCAAGAGTTTCGGGAGGAAGCGCTGCTATACCTACCAACAATGTGGTACACAGTTCTAAGTGTTCTGAAACGTACAGATATACGCTTATATCTCAAGTTATCAGATTAAAATTTTGTGGAAAATACACAGTCTTGGGTCAAGTCAAGTCACGTCAAGTCAGTCTGAAGCTCTCTGACTGCTCGACAAATAAAATTCCACAGAGTTTGCGCTTCAGGCAAAAGGCTTCGTATGATTACGTCTACTGAACAACGTTAACACGCAGCCTTTTGTATAGACATAATGATACCCTGCAAAGAATTCGCCTGTTGTTAAGAGTGTGGCGTCGGCAGTGTTATTTATGATCTCTCAACTGTTATGGCATCTGACATTACGATCTAGACTTTGCAAGAAAGTCAGCCTTTTGTGAAAAGTTAATTAGAGTCTAGCCAACAATCATACCTGAGACGTCGTACGCTTTCTGTCTGGACTAAATCCTGTTTGACTATTATGTGATTATTACAGGGTAAAGCCTCGGTCACAACAAGCCGTGCGTACAATTGCGTGCTGTCTACGTGCAAAAACGTGGGAAAATTTTGGGGATCCGTAAGTTATGAGTACCGCCACGGTACGGAATCCAATGGATTTAGGAGCACGCAGACACGCGGTAGCTCGTTAAGTGAATGTAAAACTTTCCGTGCGGGCTGCGGATTCACCCCTCCCCCCGTACGAACCAGTGCGGGCGACGCGCTGTACGTGCCAGTACGTAAGCAACATGTGTGAGTACGTCCTCCACACGGTAAAGTGGCAATCGCACAGAGATCGTACGTTTTAAGCACGTACAACTCACCACTTGCACAACGAACGATGCACGCAACCGCTCACGGCCAGACGCGGCGTGTAGACCACACCCTTACACCTTGCGCAACCGTGCGAGTGACGTGCGTCGACGCCACTCCTTCCCCACGTTTTCAGAAAAACGTAGCAGACGTGGCTTCCCAAAAAACCGCTATCGTCTATCGTCACGAAATATATCTGCAACCACTTCAGCGATCATAAAACACTACCAGACCATACATAAATAATTTCAAAGCGTTTTTTTCATCTTCTAAAAATCCATACGTGTACAAATACTAAAAAGAGATGAAAACTTTGTGTGATTATCCCAGGGCAAAAAGATAGAGGTCGAAACCTGGAACAACCGGTACGCACGACCTTTTGCTGACGTATTTGTGAATTGGCATGTATTTTACATGTTGGACGATCTCACTACTTGTAAGGGAACATACCTTCTTTTCACATTAACCTCGCGAAAGCGCATTGAAGACGGAATCCACCGAAGTATACGTAGGACTCATGAGGCCCAGTCTCGAGTCACATTGTGATCCATTCGGTTCCAAACCGGCTTCAAGTCTTTCTGACTACATGATCAGTCTGAACGCAATGTGACTTCACCGGTTTACCCGTTCATGGATTACGGGGTTATTTTTCGTAATCTATATGTAATAACCAAAAGTAGTGGCTACTCTCCAGGAGGCTGCAGCTGATATGGAGGAGAAGGTGAATGAAGTGGAGGAAGATGCCGCCTTGGGTCTACTGTAGGAGGAGCTGGAGGAGCTGGAAGAGGAACTAGAGGAAGTCAAGGACGACACGGTTTATTACGTGCACGCGTGATGTTCAGGAAGGTGATTTTTAAACGACATGTTCTGTTTTTATGACACATAAAAGTCATCCTACAACACAACAGAAAACACATGGGACTGTATCGTACAAGAAACGAAAAACGAACTGGAAGTTTATTTTATTGGACCCCGCACACCTTAAAGCATAATGTAAGCATAATGTATGTTTTAGGAAAGAATGGATTTTGTGCAGTGTTCATGAACCACCGTGGGAGTGGGTCCGATTCGGTAACGTTTGGGACCGCATCCTCGCCGCAGCGCCGCCTGGCGAAAAGAGTACGCTTAGCAGCTAAACTTTAGCCACTAGAAAGGTCGATTTTCTGGCGCTCTGGCATTTTATCTAGTAAGTTGAATAAACCCTATCCCATAGGTATCTGGGAGGAAAAAATGTAATGTTGCTGACGGAAAACGATTACTTGTTTGGTATCGTATGTTGAGTTCCTCGCATGGCTTGTTATCGGGCAATTCCAAACGCCTGAAATATGGGATAATGACGAAATGTACTATTATGAAATGTAAGAAATGGCAATTAATGTCAATATCAAATAGATTAACTAATCCGGAATATTTTTATTTTGCCGCCATGGAATTGCACTGCCTGCCTTTAACATGCAAAAGATAAATTGTTCAAGCATGTAATGTCATCTAGCACGGAATTACGCTTATAACCCAATTAACCTAGTGCATGTATGCATTAAACGTGATTGCCACTGCCACTTTTTTTGCCATATGTATGGTACTGTAAGTACATTGGCACTAAATCAAGTAATATTGATTGGTAGATCAGTTGAAATATTATGATTCTAAAACCTTGAGAAGTAATGTTCTTTTTACCTGAAAAGATTCAACCAAGACTTGATCAAGACTGGATATCGTGCACAAGAACTCCACTCAGCGTTCCCATCCATACGACGAGCTGGACACTCATGACATTCCCAACGCCATCAGCATCTAACTGGAGATTCCCAACGCCATCAGCATCTAAATGGAAATTCCCAGCGCCATCAGCATCTACCTGGAGATTCCCAACGCCATCAGCATCTAACTGGAGATTCCCAACGCCATCAGCATCTAACTGGAGATTCCCAACGCCATCAGCATCTAACTGGAGCTTCCCAACGCCATCGGCATCTGCCTGGAGATTCCCAACGCCATCAGCATCTAACTGGGGATTCCCAACGCCATCAGCATCTAACTGGAGATTGCCAACGCCATCAGCATCTAACTGGAGATTCCCAACGCCATCAGCATCTAACTGGAGATTCCCAACGCCATCAGCATCTACCTAGAGATTCCCAACGCCATCAGAATCTAACTGGAGTTTCCCAACGCCATCAGCATCAAACAGGAGATTCCCAACGCCATCAGCATCTAACTGGAGCTTCCCAACGCCATCAGCATCTAACTGGAGCTTCCCAAGGCCATCAGCATCTAAATGGAGATTCCCAGCGCCATCAGCATCTAACTGTAGATTCCCAGCGCCATCAGCATCTAACTGTAGATTCCCAGCGCCATCAGCATCTAACTGGAGCTTCCCAACGCCATCAGCATCTACCTGGAGATTCCCAACACCATCAGCATCTAACTGGAGATTCCCAACGCCATCAGCATCTAACTGGAGATTCCCAACGCCATCAGCATCTAAATGGAGCTTCCCAACGCCATCAGCATCTAACTGGAGCTTCCCAACGCCATCGGCATCTGCCTGGAGATTCCCAATGCCATCAGCATCTAACTGGGGATTCCCAACGCCATCAGCATCTAAATGGAGATTCCCAGCGCCATCAGCATCTAACTGGAGATTCCCAGCGCCATCAGCATCTAACTGGAGCTTCCAAACGCCATCAGCATCTACCTGGAGATTCCCAACGCCATCAGCATCTAACTGGAGATTCCCAACGCCATCGGCATCTGCCTGAAGATTGCCAACGCCATCAGCATCTACATGGAGCTTCCCAACGCCATCAGCATCTAAATGGAGATTCCCAGCGCCATCATCATCTAACTGGAGATTCCCAGCGCCACCAGCATCTAACTGGAGCTTCCAAACGCCATCAGCATCTACCTGGAGATTCCCAACGCCATCAGCATCTAACTGGAGATTCCCAACGCCATCAGCATCTAACTGGAGATTCCCAACGCCATCAGCATCTACCTGGAGATTCCCAACGCCATCAGCATCTAAATGGAGATTCCCAACGCCATCAGCATCTAAATGGAGATTCCCAACGCCATCAGCATCTAACTGGAGTTTCCCAACGCCATCG